AGACCCCAGCGCGGGGGGCACAGCCGTCCGGGCGTGTTTCTGGAACCCCCGGTGAGCTGCGCCTCCGTCCCGGGTTTCCCCGGTAAAGCCAACCCGCCAGCCACCCGCGCAGCAGTCCCAACGAAAGGCCACGGGAGCTCGGCCCCGGGAGGTATGCGAACAGCACAAACAACGCGGCCCCAAGGCTGTAAACCAGCCGCCCCGTTTAACGCCAGTGTGCTTCGGGAAAGAGCGACGTTATCCACAGAGTGCCTGCAATTATCTTTGGTCTCCAAGTAGCACTGTAAATATACAAAACACTAGTGCAAAAGCTGGCTGGTTTTCTGCAGATCATTTTGTGCGTTATTTTGTCCAGGAATATCCTGACCCGTTCACAGAAGGATCTGCACAGTAAAATTACATTCCTTTTATTTTTCCTCCCTTGTTTAAAAAATACCACTCAGCTTTCCAAACAAATGAAGTATTCAGAAACAAAAATCTAACGTCAAATCCTTACAGAGGCTTGCTTTTTAATGAAGGAAGCATTTTACTTCTTCAAATTGCGTATACCTGACAACAGCTAACACCGAGTTATCTTAAAGGCTTGTGCTTCAGAAATGACGTCTGAAGACTTTTAAGCTACCTGGTTTTGTTTTATTTACAACTCAACATTTACTTCCTGAACCTCCACCTTGCAGTCTTGCATGGCAATGGATATGCTGAGGTAGGACTGCAGTGTGGAGACACAGCTGTCCCTACTGGGAGGGCAGCAGAGCAGGGGAGGGGAGGCACTGCTCTACCACAATGACACAGCTCCTACTGCTGTGGGAGGTGCACACGACGAGGCAGATCAAACAAATGGAAGCCTTCAGGCAACCCTTTCCTCTACAGCTGCAATTTGGAGTTAGTTTGGAAAAAAGGCAGGGTACTAAGCACGGCTGACACCGACGTGCCCATCACAGCAGGCTGCGGTCCTGGAGTCCTGTGGCTGCTGGTTTTAGTGGAGGTTCAAGCACCAGATACAACTGTGCAAAGGTCTGTCTTTTCAGCCAAAGAGGGAGTTTTGGAGAGAGCAGGTGTGAAGACATTCTGTGTGGAGTGAGCAGGATGGAACTTCTCTTGTCAGGAGTGGATGAATAAATTGTTCAATTGGTAGTGATGGTGTGTGGAGAACACATGACTTCAATAAATGATAAGGAGTAATAAGAGTTGCAGAAAGCTAGTGAGACCTGAGCAGCACCATAATGACAGTAAACTGGAGAGAAAAGACCCCTGAGACCAAAGCAAAATTCAGTACCACAGATGAAGGCTTTTTGAATCTCTCAAACAGGTCTGATAAAATGACCTTGGAAGGAGAAATTGTCTCGATAGAGGCCCTTGTTAAACAGGCCTTCAGCACTAGCACCACTCCAGCAAGACCCTTGCAAGAGATTAACTCATTTGGGAAGAAGTTGTTTCTTTCTACCTGAATGGTGGGGAAAAAATAAGGCACTAGCCAAAAATTAATTAGGATTAAAAAACCCCAACAATCTCAGGCAATCATGGAAGAAACATCCTAGATTTGAGTTTGGGGGGTGGTGAGATTTTTTTTTTTTTTTTTTTTTTGGGTGTTGTTGGTTTGGGGTTTTGTTTGTTTGTTTTGGGTTTGGTGTTGTTGTTTTTTTTTTTTTTTAAAGTATTAAGATTCTAAGTTAATCCTTGCCATAAAGTGACAACTTTTTACAGTCAAGTCTTAACAATCTGCTACTGGCTAGGTTTTCTGTGTCTCAACTCTGCTTCTTCCCCAAGAACAGCTGTCAGCATCTGTTGACATCACTACTAAGGAGTTCCACAATTAATCCCTAACTTACTGGCAGGTGTTATTAGTTTAGAACAAACAACGAAGAGAGAAGACTTGCACATAGCATAACTGCATACAACCATACTTTAGCCTATCCAACAGAATTTCAATACCCCGAGTATAAAATGCCAATCCAAGACACTATAGGAACAGATGGTTACATCCCTAATACAAGACTGTGCTAGTACTGCCATTCTCCTGGGATGACAAGAAAAGTACTGTTCATTTTCCCACTCTACAGATAGTCTGTTTCTTTCCAACAAAAACTGTGTCATCAGGAGACCACTATGCAAGGTCAGGCTATATCAGCCTCGTTACAAATAGATAGCCCCAGCTTCCTGTATATAGAAGACATTTCTAAAGTGTATATGGCTGTAAAACCGAGAGTTCTGAGGCTAAGGTAACTTAAGATCCAAAGCCAAAATAATTCATCTTTTTGATGTCAAAGTTTATCAACCATAGGTTGCCATCATTCTCCAGGTGCAATCCAGTCTGTCATTGCTGAGGGTGCAGGCTAGCTGTTAAATTCTCCACGTCATAAATACTGCAAGAGAGTATGTACTACTCTCTTCAGATACTTGTTTCTTGATCTCATGACCAATTCAGGCTGCCAAATTTGCACTACAGCACAGCCTGCTTATCATTGTTTCACGTCTGTGTATCTAGTTAAAATAACTTGGGCTAGTCCAAATAAATCCCTTTCTTTTTGGATTTATACTGGTAGCTAAGTAGTCATTTAGGTATTTCGTATTTCAAAGCTTTTCTCAGTCAGTACCTCCAATTCACCAGTCATTTTGGTGGCTCAAGCTCAGTCCTCTGCAGTTCTGCAACAGCTTGCAGGTGCTTAAGTGTTCATCCCAAATGCAAGTGCAGAAACTCCTGAATCTTTCCCCAGGAGTGTTCCTGTGCATGGGCATGTGCTTTGCACTCTCCACCCCCCAGAACAGGCACCCCCAGAACACGATCCACAGCTACCTGACAAAATGGAGTAGAAGGAGGATCAATTCGGTGACCTGCCCCTGGATAACTCAAGAGTTCAAAATTTTCCTTTCCATGCTGGCGTAGACGCCCAACTGCCAGCTCAGCATACAAGGAGCTCTTCCACATGCGATCATCTTCCCCCACCACTATAAGAAAGTGACCTTCTGCTTTTTCAATAGGGATCGTGCAAGGCGAATTAGCAGGATTCGTTGGGTCATCCAGAGCTTCAAAAGTGTCAAATACACCAGCTTCAGAAACACTGACCTTATTCGTGTCAAAACGCAGCCCAGGCAGAGTCATCTCACCATAATGGAGGTCTGCAACTGTGTTTGAACTACAGCCAGAGATACACACAGCAGCCACTACTTCTGGCAGGAAGGTGATCATGGAGAGTGCTAATTCTGCCCCTTTCCCAGTCCCAATCACTCCAACTCCCGGTCCCTTCACCTTCAGATAAGATAGGGGGTGGGGAAGAGAGGAAGAAAGGAATACAGGAAATATGCATTATAATGAGATTAGCCATTAAATGACTTTGGAGTTGTGTTGTTAAAAAAAAAAAGGTTAGGTTAATTATTGATGTGACCTGTTGGAAAACTACAGCCTGGACCCAGGCTCCTCCCTCTGCTTAGTTCTTATTTTTCAGAGACAACAAGAGCTGCTGTCACAAAACAACACAGGCATAAGAAGTACCATCACTGGGACCTCAGCTAATCCCTACTGCATGTTTTGATACAAATATTTTCTTTTTTTCCCAAAACAGGTAGCAGGAAATTCAAGCACAGTCTATTGCTATATATGTCTCATATAACCTCACAAATGACATTTGAAGGATTAGATAAGTAGTATTTAGTCTTTCCTTTTCTAGCCTGGAAAGTAAAACTGAAAACAACACCCAAGTCATCAAATCCATGCCTTTCCTGACTATTGAGCAGTTTTGTATCATCCTCTCAAACTAACTGCTCTCCTTTAAAAAAAAATCCTATCTTTATCACCACTGCTCCTGTTTGGAGGACATTACAGCACTTCACTGTTCTAATGATGAAGAATCTTCTAGTTTCCAGAAATAGACAGCTTATGCTGGAAGAAATTCACTCTCCACAGTCATATGTGTAGCCACCTATGCAGGACTTCTACTTTTTCCATTATTGAGCCTAAATCTACCCAGCAGAAACTGTCACTCAAAAAAAAAAAAATCACTGCCACCACTTGGGCATGACTGCTGAATCCTCCCTTGTCCTGAGAGATCTCTCGTTACACTCACCTTTGGGTGACGCTGTAGGAATCTGGCTGCCTCCTCAAAGTACTCGAGTTTGAATTCTTTCATGACCTTAGGCAGATCTTCAAAGTCAAAATATGGCAGAGAAAGAGCAGCAAAGCCACGGGTAGCCAGGAGACTGGATCTAAATTCAATCAAACCTCCTTCATCACCGTACATGTCAATCACTCCTGGAAAGGGGCCATCCCCTACATTAAAAAGAAGGGGTACAGAGGACAAGTTATCAAACAGGACGCTAAAAACTATCTAGTGAAGAGTGAACAACAAAATATAGAACGCTTAAAGCATTTTCTATTAATACTCATTACTTTTCCATTTGCACAGCAGAGATTAAGAGAACTAGTGCTGTATCTCACTTCAGCTATTTCAAACTAAGAATAGGTCCTTACCTTCCTGTAAAAATACGTGAACAGTTAGACTTGTTTTTTTTTTTTAAATAACTGTTCTAAATGTATTTTTCCATAGCCTTAACCTCCCACCCTCAGAAGAAACTTACTCTAAATCAGCTATTTTCCCACAAAGAAGTCATACCTTAATTAGTAAAGTGCAAGCTCACTACTAATGAGGCAAGAGCACTGAGCCCTGGAATTAAATTCTACCAAACTTACACAAACTCTGGAACAAGGTGCACTGAGCAAAGCACAGCAAAGAGACACCCATTGCTAGATGAAATCAACTGGACTTGCTAGCTCTATCTCAACATCAGCACTGTAACACTTGGCAGCAGAACTGCTACTGCGGATGTGAAGAGACCGGGGGTAAAACTGAGAGCTCTATGGGTGGTTACATGTGTGTAACTGATACGTACACATGCATACACATGTGGGCAATCAGTCCCATAAAACTGCAGAAAAAAATCACAAGCACGATTTTTAAAGAGCATGCTTTTGCAGGCAAGGTCATGCTGTGAGATTACTGTTTGCCATGCCAGCAGATATTGGGTTAAAAGGCCAAGGATACTACCTCTTGGAACTATAAAGACCTCAGGCAGGCAATTGCATTTTTAACTTTTTTTTCCCCTGGCCACCAGATGTCACCACTGATGTGCTCAGATCCAGCTCTGCAACTACCTCAGCAGCAAAGGTATCTGCAAAAGTGCTTTAACTCTCTGACATTACCTGCATACAATAAAGAAAAGACCTCTGGCATTTCAAGGTGCTTGAGAAAAGGAAGTTTTGGACAAGGCATGCGAGATGGTGGAAACCTCCTAATTTAAAGTGTTAGAAAAGGACTGAAACACACATTTGGGTTCTTTTTCTTTCAGTCCTGAAATTTTTCAAAGTTCAATATTCTACTTGAGAGAAAATCTATCTGGATAAATTCATCATAATTCCATGATCAACAGTAACCTTTAGTTAAAAACAGTCAGGCTAGATGGCTAGAAAAAAAGAGTATTCACTCATTTATCACCCCAACCTGGAAAGCTTTCTAGCAAGAACATGTGATCAGAACATAGTCAAGCGTGAATGTGTTTCTCTCTCATGAAGACAACCTTTAACTTACACAAGGATCCTGGACTGCCTTCCTGAGTGCCTACACATGCCCAAGTAGACAGTTTCTGCATAGCTCACAAAAAAGCAGGATAAAACAGGCTAGACAACTTTACTACTGCATAAAACCAAACAAACCCACCCCACACCTGTAACTCTTATGTCCGAATCAAGGAATCTCTTTCATATTAAAATTACAGTGTAAGCCCACTCACATGATCTCACTTTTGCCAAGAATGGCTTGTGTTTAAGATTCCTATCTTAATAATATTAACATTTTTCTATCCCTGGAACAAAGAAAGGTATGATAGTAATGCTGTAACTGGATCCTCCATCAAGAACGATGCCAGTATCCTTTCAGCAATGATTCCAGACTTTACCATACTATTACGATGCCAAACTTTCTACAGGGAAAAATGACAGTTCCATCTTGCAGATCTCTGGATTCCCACAAAGCTCAGCAGAAATACACCTCCCTCATCCTATAGGGCAAAACAACCATGTCTCAGCGATGGAAAATCCAGAATGCTGACTAAACATTTGATCCAAAATTCAAAGTTCAGTCTCTGTTGTTTTTTACTTCAGTGGACTTTGGATCCGTATCTAAATGGATAAAAAGATTATTGGTTTGGGAATCATTCACTGAAAATACTTAAATCCGTAATAACTGTAGTAGTACTTACACGATTTGCTGAACCAAGCCGTTACTGAACCAAGACATTATAAATTAGAGGCAGTATGGTGGGCAGTTCTAGAGGCACAATACTCAGGAAATACAAGAAGTTTAAACCACGGCTCAAGCGTACAAACACCATCATCGGTGTAAGGTTTCATTTTCCAACACTAGTAGTCCATCAGAATATCACACCTCATAAAGCACAATCATTCCACAAGCAGAACAGGCAGAACTTGCTCAGAATCTATTTTGCTTCTGTATCTCAGAACAAACGAAGTAACTCAACTATCAGCTTCGCTTTGGCTCTGGTGTAACACAGGTGGAATACCTGTATTTTCTAGAATCTCTTCCGCTGCTCTGCTTACTGGCATATGTTTCACAGGGAAGAAAAATGCCTTTTCAATTTGATCCTACTTAGGGTAAAACCTTTGGGAAATTTATTACATACTCACACTGTGAAGCATATCGGCTTTTCTGAATGTTACAGATTCTGGTGGTCCAGAGAAAGTATCAAACCTGCCGCAACATCGCAGACTGAGAGCAGCGACATGGCAAACCCTACAACCCCTAGTCTCATTTACCTTCTGCCTGTCTCACATGAGCCACCTGTCCTCGCCTGCCCTGCCCAGTGCTGCCGGTAAGGACCAAGCAGTGTGGCCTCACACCAGTGGGGCCGTGTCCCGACAAGCCTTCGGGAGTGTCTCCATCAGATTTCAAGGGGAAAGGAAAAGAACCTGGCACCTGTCCACAGGGCGGCCTTCAGATCTATTACGGAATATGGATTTCCCAGGTGATTTCCCTTCTTTAAAAGGGACTTTCCCTGCTCAGACAGGGAAGTCGGGGGGTCCCGCCGGCCCCACGGCGAAGGTCTCCGGCCAGGGGCACTCACCCGGCGGCAGGAACAGGGAGCCCCTTACGCCTCCCTCCTTCAGTCGGATCCTCCGCACGCCGGGGGCCGTGAACCACCTCTCCACCTCGGCCTTGGCCACCACCGGCCCGGGGATGGCGCCGGGCAGGCTGTGGCCCTGATGGACCAACATCTCCACCTTCAACGGGGTGCCGGTGCTGCGGGGAACGAG